TTATTACATCGATCTTGAACATGTGGGGTACCTTGTCAACAGAGAGGTGGCCTTTGAGGCCAAGTGTCCCAACACTGGTCAAGGTGACTGTTTCCTCCAAATTTGAAAATCTCCACTTCTCTCTTGTGATTTCTCTTATATTTCTATAGGACTCTAGGTTCTGCTTAAGTTCGTTGTCAGGTATCTAGGGTGATAGCCATAGATGCTTAAGTTTTGTCTTGTTCTTGGTGGGATCAATCACGACGCACTTTTTTTGCTCGATTACAAGCTCTTCGCACGCTTTGATTTTGCACTTGGCTGCTCTGTTGGCGAAGACAGCCATCCTTACATGGCTCATCTAAGAGGGGCCCGTTGCGATGATCAGATCTTCACCCTCAATTATCGAACAAATAGTTTCTTTGAATTCTATCGGCTAGTGCGGTCTTTCGGTGATATCCACGTTAAAAAAAAAATTAGTTGGAAAACATCATACCTGTTGGTACACGTGACAGAATGATCCCGTAGTCCTTGTACTCCTTCCGTAGTCTTTGTACTCCTTAGAGTTTTCGGCTTCCTAAACGTCAACCCGCGGTCACCAAGGACCGTCATGCTGCCCTCCTAAGAGCTCATCTTATTTGAAAGATCGCTGCCTTCTCTGCAACGGCTCCCAGGGCCACGATGGCCCTGGTAATTTGGTAAAATTTAAGACAGTGAGAATAGAGCGTCCACTTATAACTTTTTCCTTCCTACTCCACCTTGACCGGAAGCTGCGTCGCTGGCGCAGATATATAAATGTAACGCCACTGCTTTTGTCTCGCGTGATTTCTCTTTCATTTTGGCTCATATCGACCTTTCCCTGCCGTCACTTGCTGCTCTTAAAGTGCAAGGCTGCGGCGAATTGAACTCGAATTGTGAGCTTCTCCGGTGAGTTTTAGCAAGCAAAATCGAACTTTTGTGCTCGACGCGACACGGATTTCTCTACCATTATGCAAGGACGCTAGGTACTTCCATACCCCCATGAAGCTGGTTGCGTTACATAAAACTTCCTCTTGGCCACAACCGCGGCCGCAGCCGCGAGATGACCAAACCCGCCCAGGTGGCTGATTCGAACCACGGCCGAGGTGCCCGCAATCTGACGGACGGTTATTGCGGAGAAGGCGCCTCTTCACACAGATTTTCATTGCACGTTAAAAGATTTCCGAGTGATAAAAATTAATATTAGTTCTTCGTTGATATGGCACGTAAAACCCTCCAATTTGACTATTTTGTCGCTCAGCTCAGTGTTGTTCTTTTCTAGGTCGTATATTACTGATATCTGACACACGCGAGGCAAGTTTATAATGATATTATGAGAGAGCGTGGCATTTCCCTTCATTTACACTTGGCTCTTTTTAGCTCCCCTCAACAATAAATCCAACTCGACATTATCGAAAATATAGGTTAGTGTTGCCCATTAAGCGGAGCCAGAAAGCCTAAGCGGTTCGTTTCATAGCGCTTGGTTGAAGGGATAAGAAACAAAGCACGTTGTATTGTACGCCCTCAGTTTATCACTGTTGATTAGAAAAAAAAAGGAAACATCAGGACGCTGCACTAATTTTACAGCCTAAAATGTATTCATCTAATTTCCCCATACATTTAGTGCGATGCTTTCCAAAGAACATTATAACAGCGTTGTAGATGATTATATTTAAGCTGAGGCGCACGTTCTGTCTTGAAAAAGAATTGTTCTTTAGATAAGGAATTTACAAGAAATACACGGCTCTGAAGCTTGAGTACAAAGCAAAATTCACGGCTATTTGTGTTAAAATAATGTACGAGTCGCGAAAATATTCATCCTATCTTCATCCTAACTAAGAATACCGCAAACTTCCGATAGCGAAAAATCATTTTAAAAAATGGGAAACGCGAATTTACCAGCAATGTACTTTCCATCGCACTTTCCGGTCACGAAAGCGCATCCGCTTGTTGCGGGAATCCACTACATTTGTTTCAGGAATAGTAACGTGCAAAAAATAAGAAAAAAACATGTTTTTTTTAATTATATATTGATTCCTGTTTCCCGGATGCTTGCACCGCGACTATCTTAAAACGTAATTTCGTGTGAACTGCAAAAAAAAAAAATAAACGTCAATGTTTTTTTTTTTTTTTTTTTTTTTTTGCTGACGTACAATAAAGGGATTTACGAAATATTTGTTATTTTAAGGCTTCACCTCTAGCCGGACGCCGCGTGCTATAATTTAAGCCACTGTAGATTTAAGAAGAAGGCATGATGTTGAACTTGAAACTGCACCGTCTGAAGGACCTGTGGAAGCATAAAAAATACATGTCAAACTAAAGAAAACACTGTTTTATTCTTTGTAAGCATCAGTAAGGCTTGCGGCGACAGTTCTTGGGGCATTTTTTGAGAGGAAGCATTCCTAGGTCATACCTGCTTCACGTCTTCTAGTATGTTATGTCTCTTAGTTATTTATGGCTGCTATTATTTCCATCCAATAATGTTCAGATTTTGATCTTGTGTGGATGTGCTTCTGAAACGTACAAAGGGGACTGGAACCTAGTCAAGCGACTTTAATCGTCTTTAGCCCAAACCTCCTAGACGTTTGTCAAATTAAAACTGTTTATTTCATTTTTATTTGATTCAAATTTATCTTGTAATGGTTGATATTGTGCCTGTCTGTACATTGATCATAGTTCGTATTGCAGTAGTACAAACCAACCTAGTCTCAATAGGCAACTAAAGTGATAATATACTTAAAAATATTTTAAATGCTTGTGATTTGTGTCATTTATTTATTTTGATAATAAATTAGAGATATTGAAGACCCCGTCGACTTCAAATATAACACTACAGGCGTTTGCACGAGTTTCTGGACAGCTAGGCAAGTTGGCGCAAAGAAATGCAGTGCAGGGGAACACTGATTCTTGCCAGCTGTTCTCCGTTGTCACTAACGTAACTGTTGAACGCAATGACTAGCATCCGTTCTTATTGGTTCTTATATTCGAGCACTTCAGACAATACATGTTTGCTTTTAATAATTTATAGTTTAATAGCTTATAGTTCTGTTCTTAAAACATTTTATGCGTAGGGAAATCCTATCCGGCGGAAACGGTCGGGAAAATAAATTAAAAACATGTATGTTTCCGTACATCCAAGAACCGAGTACGTGTTCGAGTGATGCCAGCTGTATACGATGCCAGCTGTATGCTTATGCGGCCCGAACCGCTCGCATTTTGTCGCTCTCGGTGGAGAGCTCTTCAAACTCGCTTAGTCTTCGCCATAAAGGCGGCGCACAAAGTCTATTCATAATACTTTGTCGCATTGTTTTTGTAAAAGGAACGAGATTTTAGCTGTTCAGGTGTATTGCGTTCTACAGTGAACATAATTGTGATGCTTTTTTACGTTTTCTTCGTTCTGCTTTTGGCTGCTTTTTGCCTGTATCGGTGAGTACACTTTTTATAGTGAATTGACTAGGTACCCCATGCACTACGTTAAATAATTTACCTTGCGTAGGAGAAGCTCCGATGGTGCTACTTCTAAAGGCCAGTACACGGCGTGTATTCCCAACTTTAGCGAAGCAAAGAAAACAACTCGAGAGCCCGCTGTCCCGTAGACTATAGTAGAGATGAAAATGTGCAGTGTCTTCTAAAACAAATATAGTATCATATTAATTACCCGCCAAACGCACTTACGCCACGACCCCAGCGCTCATAATTGTGGGTAATGTATAGCAGTTATGTGAAAACTTGGTTCACGGTCAGAGTTTTGTTCGCCGAATCCTTCTGGTCAGCGATAGCGACCACCAATAAGGACAGAAGATCAAACGAATTTTACATAAGCAATAAAAATATTGAATTAATGTTCGTGATCTAAAATATACCAGAAAGTCCCCAGGTAACGTTTCTGCAAACATTTGATGGCCTAAAACAAACTCCACTGAAATTGGGATAGTCAAGCGGGTGTCGGTGAAGCATTTGTAGGTATGTTGAATTATTATGTTTATTGACACTTTAATATAAAAAAATACTTTGTATTTCACATTATGTGTTCTCTACGCATTATGCTAAAAGTGAACCTTTGGGTAGATATCGTACCTGGTTAGAAATTATTAAATTAGGGCGAAAAAAAAGAACTCTTACCATCTGAAATTTAAAAACAAAATCGTCTCAATGCCAGCTCGGCCCCTTAATTTTTTAAGGCCTTGTTTTCCAAAGTGCCCAGTGTCGGTTGGTTTTTTGTTTTTTTTTTTGTTTTGTTTTTAAGTTTCTGGTGTCTTTGAAATTGCCCGGTACGCTTGTTGCATTTCTGCCCTTTCTCCTATCAAGGGACGGAGGGGGCTTTAAACATTGGGTTTTCAAATTTCAGATTATTAGAGTACACTTATTTTTTGTTTTAATGTATTAGATTGTTACAATCAATAGAGTCAAGCATTTAGAGTAGGGGTCGGCAAACTGCGGCCCGCAAGACATTTTTTATGAGGCCCCAGCACGACATTAGAAAAGTACCCTTCGCGCCCCCTGCCGCTTCCTCTCACAGACTCAAAAACCACACGGCAATTTTGACCTCAAATGGGGTTCGACAGGCAATGTCCGGCATCCCCATACTTAGGCAGAAAACGTCTTCACTTCCTTTTCGCTTTTCCTTCGCCTCCTCCCCCCCCCCCCCTCCCCTTTCCTTCCCTTACACGCACACAAACAAACTTCGCAACTTGCCGTCCGGTACGCTCAGTGTCGGCTTCGGGACGACTCCGCACGTTTCTGCAAAAGGTTGCCGACCCCCTGAATTTGAGTGTTACAAATGTTACAGTTATTTTATTTACCCTGTTGGACAGCTTGACAAAGTATCAAATGATATATTTCTCTTCCTGTATTCTCTTTTGTAACTAATGAAGTTACTAGATTTTATTAATAAAAAATAAGAAGACCCGTGGTTAGAACCGCAGTAAACAAGTTTGAGTTCCACTGTCTGTTACCAAAATAAACTCCACATCAGCAGCGTATAATTGTCCATTCTGCCCTGACAGGTGGAGAAGATATAGGTTCTCCCTTTTCAAGGAGCTTGGGATACCAGGGCCAGAACCAAGTTTAATTTCAGGAAATTTATCAGAATTGACAAGAAAGGTCAGTAAATTGACCATATATTTTTACCGTGGATTTACTGATTTGCTTTTTGCTAACTTTTATGGCACACACCTAATTTAAATGCTACATTTGAAGTGACTCTCAAAAGAACAGACTGGTTCTACGAGCATTATTCGATACGCCTATAAACTGTGGGAAGTCTCTGAACAAATAAACAAATGTTTTAGTTTTCAAATATCTCCAAACTGTTCTCGTAAACATGGCGCAAGATATAAAGCGCAATATAAGTGCAAGTTTTCTTATATACAGCAAATTTTAAAAGCAGCGCTTGCCTGGTGAGAACATTTACAATTACATTAAAAAGCCAATGGTCTTGACTACTTCATTATCAGTCTAATGCTTCATTTTAAAAATTCAAACAATTTTTTTTTCTACCACACATTTTCTTTTTAGCTGCTCTCATGTGTCCTGCTCACCAGTGGCATTCGAGTACGGATCAGTAGAGAATCCTAATAAACTAATACTAAGATATCTTATTTTAAATACTTCTTCGTACAAACATTCTTGCATATGGAAGAATAAAAACTGAATTGAAAGCTCGCAATGAACCTAAAATATATATAATTATAGACAGATGATAAAAGCTTTAGTAACAATTGTCAATACATTTTTTTATTAATTAAAAATATTGTGATGATTGGGCCCCCGGCGTTTACATGTAAGGTCATGTCATACGCACAAGTGTTTCCTTAGCTTAGAAAGACCTGATGACGTGGTGTTTTTGCCTTAATAAATATTGATTATTAGCAGAAGTATTAATTGCAAAAATATACTGAATTTTAAAGGGTTTTTTTAGATCTTAGGCAGCACAATCATACTCAAATACAGACAGCGATTATCTCCCTCGATGTGAACTTCTCATGGTTCCTCAGAATATATCGTGTGTTTAGGAGAAACGAGAATCGTGTTTTACTCATCGCAAAATTAAACTACGCTTCGCCAAATACTCTGTTTACGACCAGATGTAGCGCTAGTGGTTGGGACAAGCTGCCAAGGTGTCAAAACTCTCCACTGTGATTAAAGAGCTCCGTGATTTTTAGAAAGTTTAGTGCAAAAATAAGGCTTGTTCTCAGTAGCAGACGCCATTTATCTTTATGTATTCGTGGGCTTTTTTTCCATTTTTCCATTACAATTTTTTCAAACACTGCTTATAGCTTTTGAGTTGGATAACCGTAAATTCTCAAACTTTGGCATCTGGTTTCCACAACTAGCATAATATTAGAGTGGAAGTTTTCAAAACTATTTATGCTGCCAAATTACATAAATAACTACTTAGAGCTTTCATGTTTATGATGATTAAAAAATATCAAGAACCAGTTATAATGCGGCCTAAGAAGTAAAACTTCTCATCTTCAGGGAGAGATTGCTGCATTTGAAGAATGGATTCCAAAATACGGTGACATTATAGGGTGAGAAGGCATCAACTTCTGATGGGAATAAGGATAAGAAGATGGTGAACTGTATTGTATAAATTGTTTCAAAAACCTCGCGGCACTGGAAATTTTAAAAATCAATTATTTTTCGCATGCGTTTGAATATGTAAAATAATTTAATTAGCCCTTCTAATCTATACCATAGAGGTATAAAAATCTAATAAATGAAGAATAAAATATTCATTGTATTTTTGTTTTGTTTTCTTATTAAATCACTGACGGGTAAAATACTTGAACTGAGGTACTTTTATTTACGCTGTATTTTAGGAGTTTCCTGGCAGTTCTATTACTCCAACTTTACAAACATTACTGCTCACAGGAAAAAATTAGAAACAATTTCTTCCTTCATGCACTTCATAAGGCTTTGCTGGACCTTTTGTTGAATATAACTTCAATGCTTTTGTGGTTTGTTTTCTGCATGGGTGTTTTTAGAGCGCAGCTCTTAGGCACCCGTTTCCGGCTTGAGCGGCGTCGCCGTCGGCGTAACCGCGCAGTGCATTATGGGTAAATTTCGCCGCTAAATCTAGCGGAAAAATTTCACCGCTAGATCTAGCGGAAAACTTTCCCCGCTAAATTTAGCGGAAAACTTTCTTTGGGGGTCACGTGACCCCCCGCCGGGGTCACGTGACTCCCCAAGGTCATGTGACTACACCCCGAGGTCACGTGACCCCCCCAGAACACGTGACCCTCAGTGCCCTTCCCTCCTTCTCCTCCAAGAGCTGCGCTCTAATTCGGCGTTACAGAGAGTTGTAAACGGCTTTTTTTCTTAGATTTGATTCCACAAAAATAAATTGTACTGTGCGTAATATTGAGTAAGCAAATATAACAATATACGTAATAGTACTAGACTATTTTATGTGTATAATGTTACCTGGTGCGTGATAACCTTTGGACTTTATTCCTGTAGTGAATTTTCTTATTATAAATGTTCTAATATCTATCACATACAACGGAATTGTTAAACAACCAATGCATTTCTACTATATCAAGCTATAGTTTTGACATCAAAAGATATCCTGCAGGTTTTACAATGGCGCAACTCCCATATTGATTGTCAAAGATTTGGATTTGATAAAAAATATTCAGATTCAAGATTTCTCCAACTTTCATGACAGAGGGGTAAGCTTTGGTTTCTTTGGTCATAACTTGCATTAACTATTACTTTCATCTAATTTGTGAAGTTGTGCTTCTTTAACACGATGCATACCATAAAGCTGGAAGTCAAATTTTAAGGTATTGAAAATCAGAAACTTACAATAACCTGCGGTAATATTATACTCACTTATAGTAATCCTGCTCTGTTCGGGACGTTTATTTTATCAAGAAAAATTCAAATTAACAATTAGTGTACACATAAAAAAACAAATATTGCCATTTATAACGAAAATCTTACATCAATAAAAACATTACGCTAAACTTGGCGCTAGGGCACAATAGTTATATAGTTTACCAGTTTAGGAGGCATGCGTGTGGCAGCCGTGAATGTCCCTCAGTCTCATCACTTCAGACTGAGCCTAAATGGTTGATCTCAATTTTTTTTTTATAAAGGCTTGGTCAAAAATGTATAAAGCGCTGTCAAATCTTATTGGGCACCAACGCTGGCTTAACTTATTTCTAACTGTTTACTTTAAAGGGTTCTATAATAAAACATAAGAGGCAATTGGGTCACTTCAAAAACCAAGAAATATTTCTAATTTAGTTATTTTTAACATTTTTTTTCGATTGCCTAATAAAAACTTTTTGAATTTCAGATAGTATCTAAGTTTGCCAGGGAACACCAACTGAGCAAACTGAGCCTTTTGAATGCATTAGGAGATGACTGGAAAGATATGAGAAGGATTCTTATACCAGCCTTTGCGTCAAGTAAAGTGAAAAAGGTGCATATAAAATCGATTGAATTTATAAAACGTTCAAACTTCGTTCAACAAAAACTACCTTCTTTAAAGCATTTAATAAAAACGGGGCTATTCCACGGTACATAACAATAGATACAAAACCGAAACAGAACATAAGAATATTATAGTAAACAAGCAGGTACTTTAGTCATTTTACCTGATGAATGTTGAATTTGAGACACATCGACTGAATTCCGAATGATTTTCTCTGCAATTAAAATCTGATGCATTTAATAAAATCACAATACATTCAGTAAACTCCTGTAAAATCAAACTATGAAATCAAATCAACTCCAATATTTTTTTGTTTTTTTAGTATTACTTTGTGTATACCTTTAAATTAATTCAGCTACTATATCCTCACAAAATACTTCAGTATCTTTCATTTTGCTTACAAGAAGAAAGTTCCAGCAGCTAAAGGTCTTCTAAACGTTTAGAGAACGACTGGGTAGAAAGCATTTAATATGCAAGACAATACAAGCGATAGCATAAACTATAAAATATTCAATATTAAAATGAACATAACATAACGTAACATAGGCCTGCCACATTTGCATTGGTTGTTAATATCTGTGCTCAAATAAGCAAAATCAAGTATGCGAGCTGATCATTTTGTATAGTTCTAATCTTTTCATGTCTAGTTCTATTTGTCAAACATGTTAATAAGTTTGGGAACTGCCTTAGAGTGTGAACATGAGATTGCGAGAGCATGCACTGCCTCTTAAGTTTTCACCGGCGGGACATCTTGCTCTACACGTTCGAGATTGCAAGTGTACTCCCTTATTCCATCGAACAAAAATTCTAAGGAAGTTCAGTGATCAAAGAACAAGAGAAATTTATGAGGCGCAAGTCATAGCAGCTAAAGGGGATACATGCATCAGTGCACCTTCGGTAGCCTTATCGGCGAAGGAATTGCACTACTTACAATATTTTGAGTGAGAACTTCGTTTAACCAGATTAATTTTCAGAGTCCTCTTCTTCCACTTTCTTTTTCTTTCTTTCATATAATTGGAGTAGGTTTTCATATGAATTTCTTGGTGTACATTTTTAATTTTTACCGCACTTTTTTTTATTTGGTAATTTTGAAATCAAAAATAATTGTTGCTTTCTTTCGTTTTGGTTAGTCTTCTTTTTCATTTCGTATATGTCCTTGCACTTCTGCTTTATTTTCCTTTTATTATTCACTAAATATCAGTTGTGAGTCAGCGCCTGTCCGTGTCTGTCTCCTACTTGTCCTCGTCTTAAGCGCTATTTCTAATTTCGTAGTCTAGTTCTATCATGTATCCTCCTCCTTTTTATGCTCCTGGCAGAATGCAGAATGTCAATGCTTTGCAATATTTCATGCTACGTTTGCTAACCAAATAAATATTCTAATTGCAGCTGACAACCCTCATGAACCAGTGTTGCGATGACTTCTTGGATGTGCTGAGCTCCCTGCATGGCGACGAAAACACGCTGGAAATACGAGACTTTTTTCGTAAACTGGCCTTGGACATCATGATGGGATCATCATTCGGAATTCAGTCAAACGCTCAAAAGACGGGAGAAATGATGGGTGTTAACCTAATTGCAACGGAACTTATAAACCACCTCAACTTTCTTGTTAATGGATGGGAGTCATATCTGGTTGGTGCGTCTGATTTAATAAATATATCGGAAATATTCTGTAATGGTTCAGAACAAAAGAAATACGTCGTCATTATGCTAACAAGAGACGTACTAATTAGATTACAACTTAAAATATATACATCTAGATATACACTGCCTAAACCCATTTATTCCAAAATAATAAAATTATACATTTGTAAATTGGTCTCAAGGCCGATGCATAAATTATTGGCATTTAGACCTTTAAATTGTGATATATCTGAAGACAATCATGTTTTTATTGGAGAAGGTGAAAAGGTTAATGTGTGAAATGTTTCTTGTCATATTTTAGAATGTTTTCCCGAGCTCACTTTTCTATGGAAATGTGTATTTTGGTTCAAGAGGCATTTTATGAAGTTGCCAATTAATAAAATCAACGAACTACTTATGCCGATCATCAATATCAGAAGGTCCCAACCGTTGGTAAGATACATCGTTGTCATTCATTTGGTAATAGGAGTTTGGTCCCACTCTGAGATAAGTAAATTCATTGACTGGCTGAAACGATCATTTGTTTTGTTTTGTTTTGTTCTTACTTTTGCTCTCATTTTATGTCCTTGAACTATTACAGTACGTGAATAGTGCATAACTAGGCTGCCACCTGCCCAACATTTATTTTTTCCCGCCTAGACCTTTTGCTTTTTCCCAGTAAACTTAGTGACATCGGCAATTGTAAATGTGTGTTGGTTAAATAGTAACTAAAACAAGTTTTATAAAAAGTATAATGGCTCTAGAGGGGTAAAGTGTGTTGCACCGTAGCCCAAGAGAGATAGGGTATTGGGGAGTGACGCTTCCTAGCGGCCACCTCGGTAACTAAAGCTGTGTGGCAAACAAACCCTCCGACTGCACTCATTAGTGCATTTGGTGCCAAGGAAGACGACGACGCAAGGTTCGTGAAAGATATGTAACAGTATTCTTTTCTCTTAAACGCATCTAGATAGAAGTAATCTAGTCCTCTCCTGCGTTCAATGTCATCGAAGTCATCTTGGAGGGTAAAAGTGGCGGCCGCGCACGCTGGATCGTGTGTGGCCGGCGCTGCGTCCGTACTTTTCTGAATGATTCACAAAACACGCACTTCGCTTTTCAGTTATCCTGTCTCTTGAGACAATCATGGACGACGTCGGCGAAAGCAAGTGGTGTCCTGTTGAATGAGAGGACGGGCTCAAATGCGATCATGGCACCGAGTGCAGCGTTGTACCAAAGCCGACGGCGGACAGTGTCCGCATCGTCGCGTACGTGCTACAGTCCACTGCGCTACATATATCCGGTTTAAAAGCATGCTTCAAGCACTGAGGAATGCAGCAAGTGCGCATCATAATGCTACAGCGAAATATGCAGCGAGCGCGGAAACGCTGCGGGCTACGCTGAGCGAGTGCTGGCGTCGGAGTTTGTTTTCCACACAGCGAGTGTTTATGGTGATGATGATGATAACGAAACTGCGCCCCCTTTAAGTTCGGTCTCCTTGCCAACAATTACAAATGCAAAATTTCCGATCTTCAACTGACTATTCGCTTCCGCGTTGATGGCAAACTACAATAATCAAAGCAGTAATCCAAATATTATCTTTATTATAACGTGTCCCTACAATGCACTCAGCAGATAACATGCAATGGATTTCATTATTTACTTTTGCTTCCTATACCAGAGGGCCATACATTCGCTTCCCTGCTGTCAGCTGACCCCCTTAGCATATTCATGATCACACTGCTCGTGTGTTTCGCTGTCTTTTCTCAATGTGCCAACTCTATTTCAGTCTGTCGATCAGGACTTCTTACAGCTGTTGCTCAATGCCGAAGCTGAAGACGACCGTGCTACAAACACTCATACGAAAAAAGGAGACAACGATAACACTCGATGTATGTATTCTCACGATTGATTAAATTTGTTAACTGCTCCCTAGGCAGTAAAAACATTTTTCTATATAGATATATACTTTCACTCTAGCTTATCGTTCGGAAATGAGTAGTTGCCGGTAATTAGTTACTTTCAGTCTTACTTTCAACAGATCTGGAAAATAAGACCAGCCTGCGTAAAACACGACTTCTGACCAACGTCGAAATCCAGTGTAACGTGATTTCATTTTTAGTCGATGGGTGAGTTCTTAACTTCGCGTTACGTCAATTTGGATAATTTGAGTTTGAATGCGCGTTCGTAAACTGCGCGGCGCTGCTAGACCAAACAAGCGACTTGCGATTTTTTCCCTCGTAGAATCGAAGGTTTGTCAAGAAAACTACTAGAGTTGTGAAAAGGGCTAATTTGGGTAACAAAAATGAAGGGTAAAATTTAAAGCTTTCCAATACCACCTTCAAGTACAATGTAAAAAAGCACAGACGTCCTTGTGCTAAGAGTGCCGCGCAGTGTACATATACTATACTTGATAATAATTAAAGATACATTATTAACTTATTTTTAATTCGAAATCATTAACTATTCCATGGAGCGGAGCCGGCGGCGTTTGGAACCGCAAAAAGCACAGAAGAAATGCCCATTCTTCCATTGGCTGAGCAAAACATCTCCCAGATAGGCATTGGCGGCTGCTTCACGAGACCGCGCGCTCGGCCGCCGCTCTCGTGTCAGGCGTTGCCGAAGGAGGGGGAGGGGGGGGGGGGTTGCTTTCGGCTGCTTCTGGGCCGACTTTCTGGAGCAGCGTCTCAGCTGAGACTCGGTGAAAGAAAGCACTGCAAAAGCTCGGGCGCGCGACGTGGCAAGAGTCCCGCTCAGCTCGTGCGCTGGCTTCGGCAGTGCTTTCTTTCCCCCAGGCTCAGCTGAGACACTGTTTCTACCAAGTCGGCCCTGCTCCGCTCGGCGCCGAAGAACATGCGCCCCGCGTGAGGCATCTGCATCATCGGCGGCCGCAACGTCAGCAGTAGAGAAACGTGGCCTTCCACGCTAGTACACCACAGAAGAACTAAGGGAGCCGGAGAACGACATTCATGCTTTCGCATTCACAACTCATGAGTACTTAGCTGTCCTCGGAATTGTATTAGTTTCATAAGCGTGATATAGTAGCAGTGTGCCTGTTGTTTTGTAGAATTTGATGGTCCACTTGTGCTTCGGACGTTCCACTTTCGTTCAATTTACTCACACCCATATTCTTTCTCCATTACGTTACTTCCTATTAGAATTCGACCCCATTTCAAGCACGTATGGAGAGCAAGCCATGTCCTCCCTCTTAGACGCTTCACTCCAGCGTCAGCTAAAAAGAGAAAATTGCGAAGTTATTTTTTTATTTCAAAAAGATCAAAATTTACCTTCAGCTCCTTAATGCACCAAATCAATTAGAAGCACCTTAAAACCAAATTTTTTTTCCGGTTATCGAACATTGTACTAGTTTCTAAGTATTCAAAAATTCTAGCATATAAGAAGTATTTAGAAGACGAGACGTGGGGTGTTAAGAGAAGAAATACAATAAAATCACTTAAATTAAGTGCTTATCCGTCAATCGTTATTGGGGCGATAAATATGTGAACCCATCTTTTCTTCAAAGCCTACATTTCAAGCTTTTTTGTGAGGCACTAGTTTTGTGTTTAGGGTTAAAATTCAGTTGACTCGTGGAAAATAAGTTTTATTAAAAGATTTGACTTGGTTTCAGGGAACTTAGTGCTCAAAGATTTACACAGGCCGATCAATGCCAGCAAAGGCATTGCTGCAAAGCTTGCTGCTAAGCGATCTGGACCGTTCACAATTACAGCTCGAATCCGCCAAAACGTTTATAAGCTGAAAAACACGGACACATAAAGGGCGTGCAGTTTAGCTAATGCTAATTAACTGCTACGCTTCCACAAATTTTAAGACACCTTCACAAATTAAGGAGGGGGATTATTTACAAGTCAAGCTTTTTAAAACCCACCAACGTGCAAGGTTAGCACAAAGGCCAACTTTGCACTGCGTAGGATATCCGTAGAAATGATCCGTTGTGTCTGCATGCTATTAAACAGTTAAGAATCCGGATTAGATTTCTAGTGTCGCCAGTCAGTATACTCGAACAAAGAAGGTGATCTGAATGCTAAATCTAACGTTTATTTTGTGGAGACAGTGTGGAAACAGCCAGCACTGCTATGACCTTCATGGCCTATCTTCTTGCAAAGCATCCGGATATACAGGACAAAGTTAGATCGGAAGCATCTGCTACCTTGGAGAAAGATGTAAGTTTTTCGCCATACGTTTTCGCTGGATCTTAAGAATAGTCTTGTATACGCTTATTTGAAGAATGCGTGATTACTGAAAGCATGCCATCAAAACGAATTCACTAACTTGTGTGGCATTTTAGGGAGAATTCAACAGTGGGAATATCACCTCATTGCGCTACATGGATCAGGTAATTTCAGAGGCTCTTCGAGTTTATCCACCTATCACTGGGTAAGTATTGTGTTGTTTTTTTAATTGTTAGATATTTCTATCCTGCAATAATAAACGAGTTATATAGCTCATTTTACACCTGTAACTTTATCATTAGTTTGTATGCTTTATTATGACTTTTTATAATAATCAGACATAAAATGTTTAGCTATAAAGAAGATTTGGGCATGGTTAAATTGTTTACAACTTGAGTGTCTCATCATTTCCTCACAAATCTAGAACTCTGATACTTCTAAATAAATCGACCGAAATATTGGACAATTTCCCAAAAAGGTTCACCATCGCTCTCCCATTTGTAATGGAGGCAAACAGCTCGTATAATGCTTTAATTTAAATCACGACCTTTTGTTGCTCCACAGTTTCGTTACGAGAACGTGTGAGAAGGACTACGATTGGAACGGACTTAAAATACCCGCTGGGATGAGCATAAAAATTCCAGTGTATCAACTACATCATGACCGGAACTTGTGGCACGAACCTGAGAAATTCGACCCAGAAAGGTGAATTCCGTCATCTCTAGCAAATAACAGCTACGTTGGATTGTTTCTTAATAATCGCCTGCTTGTGGATCTGTATTGCGTAATAACAGAAACAATACCTACTTTTTTTTCACTTGGGCACTGGTTAGGTAAATGAAGCAATCGGCGATTATCGTACAAATATAATATTTCGTTTTATCTTTTATAAGAAAACATAACAAAACCACTTATTATTCTCTAAATATGGCAGATAAAAAAAACACTTTAACCCGTTCGCATGTAGAATAGTGACAGGTTAATGGTGCGTTTACACTTGCGATAAAGTCGCTGCCGCCCAAGAGAATGCGGCGGTGGCGGAAAACAGGAGTTGTTTACATCTATCTCTGCCGGCTGCAGAAGTTTTCTCGTTTGCACTTGGAGCGTCGCGTCTGCTACGAGAAGACGAGAAATTTCTTGTCCTCTGCTACTCTCGGCCACTCTCGGCAAGATCTCGGAGTCGCTCTGAGTACGTCCACTACGAGTAGGCTTAATTCACTTCGTTGACGCCGTATCGTGCACCGTCGCCCTCGTTTCGCCAGATGGAAGATACCTCGCGAGGATGCTCAAGTTCGACCGCAAAGAAGATGATCGAGACCACGACGATTATGTGTTTCCTACTTGGTATGTAGCAGGACATGCAGCGCAAACCAAAGAAGGAGCGGGGCATTTGTCGTTCCAAGACCGCAAAAAGAAGAGAACGAACGCGCGCTCTGCCTTCCTTCTTGTCTTCGCTTGCGCTTCGATTGAATTTTTCTGCAGCTGTGGTCGGTGATCTCATTTCTAATAACAAACAGGAAGAAGAGCCGCTCCCCGCTCCGCCTCGCACCCCTAGTGAACGTGCGACCCTCTATTTCAAGTGGACTCTTCCGGCATGAGTGGCTCACTGCTGATAAAAATATTTAAAATTTGAACGGGTTGCCAAGTGGACCTGGTATTGGGGTTTCGCTGGTTCCATTTCGTTCCTTCGTCATTCCAGTGTTATTTCTTGTGTAGCAGAGGGCTGTGGTGTTTGAAAAATATGTGTTTACTTCAAGCCGGTCCTGGTTTGGATGTTGTCGGAAGCAGTCGATCGTCGCAAAGTGATGCTGTTCCGTTTTATATAGAACTAGAATACCTGCCACACGGATTACGTTTCGTCGTAAGGTACGTACATTTTATTACTTGAGTAGACTGTTCTCTAAGAGGCGACGGGGATGGAAACGTAGACATGGGTGATCATGTTATCTATGCGATCACACTCTTCCAAGATCACGATCAATCATTTCTTGTGCCTCCTACTTGCTGTGTAGCAGGAGGTGCAGAGCACACCAAAGTAGAGGTATACCGTTGGCAATGATGATTCGTCCATGCTGCGAAAAGACTGAGCGTGCACGCTGCCCCATTCCTCGTCCTGGCGGGTGAATGTCTATCGAGCCGTGAGCGATGCAATTGCTATAAACTAACACGAAAAACCGGAAGGACAGACCGCGCAACGCGAGATCAGGTAAACACTGATTGGCTCAGGTCAGGCGAAACGCTTCGCCTGGCTCAAAAATTGGGTCCCGGACCGATCGAGATTTTCCGCCGATGAAGAGCGGATTTCGCCATCCGGCTCCGAAATCCGCTCGCCGCCGGCGCGGATCCGCCCGCGAATTCGCAAGTGTGAAAGCACCATAAGATCGCTCCTCCCACAAATCCCTCCACGCTGGAGAAGTGGCAAGCAAGGACTCGCCCCCTTTCCAGCCTTTACTCTGCTAAACTGGAAAGAGTGGAGTACTTTGTGTGAGGAGCTTGCTCTGCGCTCTTAACCTGCAACAGACTATGGTTAGTCATATGTTGATGCCTGAAAGACACATTTAACTATTCTTCTTATTGCCAACGAGTTCTAAAGGTCTACGATTTATTACCTGTAATTACGGTCCTGCGTTTTCAAAATTTTTTTTCTAAGAAAAAAAAAATTTCGAGGCGTTTTTTTGTGTGTATACGTGTGTGTCTGTGTGTGTGTGAGGGAGAATTAAGTGTTTTTAGGGCTGTCGTTCATCGGAAACAGAAATTGGCAGCCATACGCATGTTTAGCTTTATTGGTTCGTGTAAATAACGGCATTTCTCGTAAAAAGGCAGGCTGGGCGTCGATTAAAAATTGTTACCCAATTAATCGCCAGCCTTTTATCGATTAATTCATCGATTAATCGGTTTCGTTTTTTTTTTCATGCAGAATAGATCTAAAAAGTCAAAATTACACTTTTTGCCTCGATTGAATATGTGATTAGCGGCTCGATGTACAATTTCGATTTTCAAGTCCTACCTTGAAGCGCAGTTGAGAACAGTCAAAAGACACCCACACTCACAAATTATTACTTCAGCCGCAGCGGCACGGAGGTTCGTTGGTATTCTAATAGCGAACTCCCTGGATTGTTCGCAACAGTCTCTGCTGCGCTGAACGGACACCCGCCCGGCGTTGAAGTGGCTGGGACTCGTATAACCTTCTACACTTGTTTGAAGTTACAAATCTCGCCCCTGCAGTTTATTTTAGATCACAATTTCTCCCAAAGTTTGCCTTCATTCTCGTGTACTCGCCCACGTCTGCGTGGTGAAAGCGTATAATCTTTTACTAGTCTTTTTGTATTTTTTTTGTAAACATTTAACTGATTATCTCGTTAGAAATGTATCGAAACTAAGCATTAATTGATTAATCGGTAGGTAAATCGATTAGGTGTCTATTCCTTCAATATACATTATGTGTACCGTTAATTGAATATCCTCCTGTATCGAGATGAGCTCTCTTCGTACGGATAGGCCAATGGTAAATCAAGTATTAAGCGATTCGCCCTCTCCATCAGCCGCACTAACGTAGGCGACAGAGCATTAAGAAATCTAACTACACTTTTGCCTAATTACTAGGGAACTTTCGCTTCCTGGCGTCATTAAATATCTGAGGGAATATCCCTAAATCCCCCTCATCGAAGCGGATTAAAGATAAGTTCTGTCTTCAACAAATGAAACTCCGAGAGAGACGAATGACCGCCTAGGAAAGGAACCCGTCTGAAACAAAGGCTGCAAATCGGCGACCGATGTGCGACTGTATTGTCGTAGAAAGGTAGCCACATCTTTCTGATAAGTCAAGAGACTTTCTTTTGTAAAAGTTAACGAACAAGAGTGGAATAGGCAGTCCTTATGTTTGGAGTATTTTCAAATATATCCGCATTAGTCTTTTTTTTTTTTTCCTGGTGGGTAAATTTTGGATTTTATAGGATAGTTCTGCAAACGCAGAACGTTATTTATGATTAGGGTTTTGAGTTTTCGGTTTAAACCGATAAAAGTACGCCGAATTCATTATCAGAAATTCGGTTTTAACCGAAAAAGGTCAGTTTTTAGTTTCGGCATTTTCGATTTAAGTCAATAAAAACTGATAAGCGTACGTCGAATCCATTTTCTAAAATTCGGTTTTAACCGAAAAAGGTCACTTTGACCTTCCAGTCGAGCCACAGAGCCGTGGTGAAAAAGTGGAACGACAGTGTCTATCGAAACGTGTTCGAATGTATGAGATGCACGGGTGCCATCATGACGTTTTGGTTTAATGTGCGCATCATCGATCGGAACGAGAAGTCCGAAATGCCCCGCAACTTCGATATGTACGAGCGTGTTTTCAAACTCGTTGTAAGGAAGACTGACTTGATGCAAGTTCTGCATGTTGTGTTGTGCGTTAAAACGTTTCACCGTGTCTCTTTTGGCGGTCACATTTGGTTGATTGGTCGATTTTGGCTCGGACAGCGCTTCACCTCCTCAGCCTGCCAGTGTCCAGTGTTAGCGTTGAGAGGGCATTCTCGAAACTCAGTGTCATATTAACAAGAAAGAAAGAGTGCGGATCAACGAGGAGTACCTGGGAAAGCACATGTGTGGGTGTGCTAAAATAAGATCACATAATCCTGATATACAGAAGGTGAAGTTCAATGATTTTGGGCATAGGCTTCATATCTAACTTGTTTGTACTTGAGTTTTTTTGTTGTTTTTTTTTCTTGTTTCTTTCAGAGATGCACATATTTGCCAAATAAAGTGTCCATTTCTTTTTCAATGTATCTGCGCCGTTATTCTTTGAGTGATCACAAATATCAGAGCTACAAGGATACTCTGATCCGGTGTCCGTTAGTGTTTATTTTGTATTCACCGAAAAAGCCGACAAACTTTTGTGGACATAAATATACGCCACAAAAAAAACGAAAATTGAATTATAAAATAAACGCCGAAAAAAGTACGCCGAATTTTGAAAAAATATAAACCGAAAACGCGGAACCCTTTTTATGATCAAATGTGGTGGCTGGTCGTAAAGAACAAGCAGGCATCGTCGCAATTGTGGCTTTCAGGCGACTTCTGGCCATCCAAGTTTCCGTCGACTGGCCTTCTGGAAGACGCGTTATAGTTACGCGGGTGTCTGGCACCTCCACTTCATGAAGTGATCGCGTCAGCAGTTCCTATACCCACCACCACGTTCGCAACAGTTCGACACAATACTCAGTTTTAAACAACGTTACCTTGAATCCAGACGCAGCCGACGCTACGAGCTGATGGGACGAATCAGACAGCGTCAAAAGGGCACCATCGGGGTGTTCTTCGTGTTTCTGTACCTGTTCCATCATCGCTGAACCAACCATAAACAAGAAATACCCGGTGACTTGCTCTTTTGACGCTGCTTGATTGGCGCCATTAGCTCGTAGCGTGGCTGCGTCTGAACTTAAGCTGAAACGAGGTATTAGAGCCAAGTAATTAATTATTGCACTCATTCCGCGTACCTTTACATTTTACCTTACTTTTCTCAACGCAGAACGTCCCACTTTACTAAAAAAAAAAAAAAAAGACTTACGCCCTTCTTTCTAGTATCGGAAAACGCTGTCGCCCTAGAATGCGCTGTTACCGTCAATTTATTAAAAAAAGAGTAACGCAAGAGCAACGTGCGTTACTTTTTATCGGTAACAGTAACGCGTTGCTTTTATTTAGAGGTAACATAGGTCGGTAACGCGCTCTTTTTATTTGCAAGTAACGAGTAACGTACTTCGTTACTTTTTTTTTCGGTGACGCCTACAACACTGGGGTTATGTTGATCATTTGACGAATTTAGTCAGGAGACGCCCTTCAAAAATCCTAAGGATTTTAAGAAAAATAAGACTACGCTGTCGAAGCAGTTCATTTAACCACAAAGGTGGGTATGTAAAACAGAAAAATAGGTATGGCGAAATTTCTCTTTTTAAGATCGTCTCATCATTAACAATGAGTTTTGTTCATTATTTGCTTGGAGTTATTGAATGAATATCAATTCGCAACATCATTGCATTGCCACACGTGGCTATAAAAGCACGCGGTAAGGGATTTCAGAAAGGGATCACAGGAGGCTAAAGTGTACAGCATCACCGGGTATTGGGCAAAATATTCTCAAACCATTTCCCCACAAAATCAATTTATCGACGAATGTTAATAAATAGCAAAATATGTATGTTTTTACTTACAAAAATAGCATTGAAGAAAGCGCAACTTTGTATCTTTATATTTAACAGGTTCAGCGACGACAATAAGGGAAATATCGTTCCCATGGCATATCAGGCCTACGGCAACGGCACACACAATTGCATCGGAATGCGATTCGCTCAACTGGAACTTAAGCTCATGTTGGCAAAGCTCTTGGCAAATTACAAGCTGCTTCTGGATGAAAAGCGGATGAAAGTAAGCGACGTCACGGTGTTTTCCTTTGTTTACGAGGAACAAATTTGTGATTTTCTTACCTGCATTTTGTTCTCATTAGGTAATATCCATCAGAAAGTCAATAACGTTACCAAGACTGTCGATGTGTTGTGTCTGTTATCCATCTGAATAATTGTTTTCGTAATATTTGCCTTCCTCTTTTACGTAATTAAATGCGCGAGGAGAGAACCTAATCTTAGATGTGAAGAGCACTCAAAAGTCTGGTAGTAGATCTTAATGGTCACACGCTATATTTTGGACCAAAAGATAGTTTCTCAATACTCATAATTAAACATAAGCCAATAGCCATATATTACAAATATTTTAGGTGTATGTTTAATACTAAACTGATCCGAAACCAACATTTAAAAAAAAAGTTAACAAAGCCGGAGGCACTTTGTACTGCGATGAAAATAATTACATTTGCTGATTGTGTTAATACAATTTTTGCCAGCAAAGGTTTTGCTTGACCTGTTTTAAATTACGCTAGCTTAGCGCAGTACCCTTTCATCAAGGATGCAATTAACAAAGTAGAAGATATTAAAAACAAAGTAGAAGATATCAACACGAGATCATCATCCACCGAATTAGTAAGCAGCTCAACTTCCGACACTACAGACAAAAGCATTGATAGATCAAACTTTGTTTTTTGTAATGTAATGAACGAATCCATTGACATAGGTAGCTATGAATACAGAAAAGCACTACCATTGACGAGTATTAACATAATAAAGATATAAAACGATTGTTTTAGATTTCCTTTCTTCCCTCGTGCTATTCAGGAATTAAATAAGTTAACAAATAACATTGTGACTAAATAATTTCGATAATTTTGTAGAAGTTATTCGGTATTGCTTTGGATAGGTTTTTTTTTTTTTTTTTTTTTTTTATGACCCCTGTTTTTTCCTGTTTCGTTATTATTGTAACCACTCCTACAAGCTCTTTGAGTGGAGCCAAGAATATTTCTAAATAAATGACCCAGTATCCAATGCAGTTACCCAAGAGCGTCATAAAGTCACAAAAATGGCGATATATTAAATAAATTATTTGTATCTTCCTTCTTGCAAAGCAAGTGATACCATAAGCATGACAATTGACAGAAAGGCCTTTTCAGTTGGTTGTAGCAGAAAATCAACAATCCAGAATGAAATATAAAGGCGACGAGCACATTTAAACTTGAACAAAAACAAGACACAATTAAGGATGCACGATGAGCAAGAAAGGTATATAAGCATTCATATATGGAAAGTATGAACACTAATTGAACAAACCGAACTCTAAAACTCAAATATAAATACCAAGTGTGTGCTGGCGCTGGGCAGACTAACTCGGTGGAAATGTAAATAAAAGAAGCCGAGACGAAACTGTTGGAGGGAAGACAAGAGTACAGGAAAAACCATTTTTAACTATGTGTAGAGCACAAAAACAAGAAATAATGAAAGGAAATTGGTATGATGGTTCACGGGGAGTTTGTTGTAATTTGAAGTTAGAACAGAAGTATTAAGAACTTGGACATATAAGGTTCAGTACGAGGAAATGGACACGCGGTGTGCCGTATGCCAGGGGAAAAAACGAAACAGTAGAACATATTGTATTGAAGTACGCAGGGCTTGCTTCACCACCTCGGAGGCAGCGGCAGATTTGGCCGGAGCGCTGGGGTTTTCAGACCAAAAATAGAAGAACGAATGATAAGGGCATTACGATGGTAAATAGGAGATTAGAGGATTCGTCGATGAGATCCAGGGAAGCCTGGCACTGCGCACAAACTTAACGGGCTATACGAGCTAACGGGACACAAACGCTTGGTACAAAATTTTAAACGGATGGACAGAAAGATTTTCAGGCTACGTGGTGCGAGCTACCGCCAGATATAAAGGGAAGAGCCACAAGGATCCATCCATCCATCCGTCCATCTATCCATCCGGTGACCATATTTGATACAAAATCTTTCCGCGTCTGCTTCTTTGCAAACCATGCACCGGTTAAATTGGTGCACGTTTCGCCAACACTGCCTATACTTCGTTTCACCTTTGGTCCAGACGTAGCGGACGCTACGAGCTGATGCTATCCATCAGACTGCGTCAAAAGCGCACCACCATGGTGGTCATACTGTTTCTGTACGGGTTCTACTATTGTCGCACCATTCATAAACACAAAGGCCCATTGGCTATACGCTTTTGACGCTGGTTGATTGGGCCCACTAGCTCGTAGCATTGACTGCATCTGGACGTAAGCGCCAACAAGCTGCCACCGCGAGGGATGGAGTGGACAGAGTGGTGCGTCAGCTTTCTGCTGCGGCTCGTTCTCTCCCTCATTTGGCACATGTCCCAGCCGATCCCTAACGCAGCACTCCTGCCCAGTCTCTGAACCGAGTTAGCCTCCTGTGGGTGAGGTATAATATTCAGCACTGTGGTTGCCGACGTTACTAGATTTGTTCAATTACGGAACTGCGCCCATGTAGACGCGGCTTCCACAAGCAGTGCCCCTCCCGCGGCATGGCCCCCGTCGTTCAACGCCCCACCGTTTTCAGGACGGCAGCTGTGGTAACTGAAGTGTATTCTACATGGACCACATGTGTCTTGAAGCACCGCGTCTGGATGGCGTTTCACCGTATACTCTGTGGAATACAGTTTTGAAAGGAAAATTCTAGATGGCACTTCAAACGGCAGGAGGCGCTCTGGAGGGTCAGGCGGAGGGGGCGAGGGGGGGGGGGGGGGGGGGGGTAAGTGAGAGACCTTACCTCCGCGGGATTTCCTCAACCGAGCTAATCTTGTAACGTTGCACTCTGCCTCGTTCTACGGAACTTGTTCGGCGAATGACGCAATGCGTAGGAGAGGGTTGACAAAAGCGCGATCTAGCGCGGGAATGAATCGCACGACAAATGGTGTTTTTCTGGCAGTCTGATCTTCGCCCATGGCGTTTGAATTGTTGCGACTAGATCTTGACGGGCTCTGTGGAAAACGGGACGGCCACCGGGGTCACCGACAACGTAAGAAACGATGGGTGTGGCCAGTCTCCCCCAAGCGTCTCATTTTCGCTGCACAATCAATCAAATTGTGGCATTAACCGTTGGGAACAGCGAGGAGCGAATCACGGAGCAAAATAGCTTCGTGAACATAATAAGCCGACACCCAGCCTTTCTTAGGTCGTCACTGACTAAAACTTTTTTTTTTTAGAGTGCTGTTTTATAACGTTATCGGCGTTTTGTCACTTGTTGATTTATTTATACCGCGCAGGAGAATGAGTAACCGCGTTATCCTGCTGGAAAATTAAGGCATGCAAGCTTTCCTTTAAAAAAATAATAAAGGCTGCTCAGTTTTTGAGAGAAGTCGGAATTATCTTAGAATATCTCAATTAAAACAACTCTTGAAAAAAAAACTTAATTGTATAAATTTAGTATTGCTTCACCAGCTTGAGTTTAGAAATCAATAAAAGTAGACAAGCCATAAAGCTGAATCAAAATTAACTGCTGGGCTAGTTGGTATCTTACTCAAAGCATTATAGAGGACAAGAGCGCAAAAGACGCGGACAATTAGAAGATCAGGACAGGACAAGACAAAGCGCTACTATCAACTGGCGTACGCTCTTGTCCCCTGTAATAACCTAAAGCTGATTTTGGTTCAACATTGTACATTATCTTTACACACTTATTCATTACTGGATTTATTAAAAGTTGAATTTCTTTTCTTTCTTTTATTTCGCCCTGCTGCAGGAGAATCCTTTCGAACTCGACTCCAGCTCTATTTTCTGCTATCCCCGGAAAGGAGTTTGGCTGAAGCTTCAGAAGATTTCGAGTGTTCTTTAAAACACCTATATTAAAAAAAAAAAAAAAAAAACACGACGACGGGCTGTGTTTTTAGGGAGAAACATGGCCAATTTTGGTGACCTTCTGTCAAATTAAAGTTTTTCGAGAAAATGTGAAAATTCAAATTGATTTCGTTCTATGATATCCAGGCAAATAAAGTCCAAGGGAAGGGGACATTACGATCTTTTGTCAAAAGAAGCAGACATATACAATTGTATAAATATTGCCTATGGGATTCAATGCAGATAAATTTGTAGAGTTGCGGAATAAAAGCTATACACGTCCAGAAAGCCTTATTACCGCGTATTGGTATTTTATTACTGTCTAAAATATTCCCGGGGCACTTCGAGTTGTTTGTTGTTGTTCAGTTGAAATGCTTATTTTAGCAGAGAAGCGCCGAGGCGTTGATGTACAAGAAAGTTGCGGATGTCAAGCAAGGACTACAGGCTCACTCAAACTACCAGGCTTTGAATAATCGGAACGATATAGGACTGTCCTCACAGTGCTCGCCTCCGTTCGCTTTTTGAGGTAGTGTATCCTTCAAAAACGTGTCTTTCCAATCAAACGAGCTTCTGAACCAAATGACCATCGAATCAAAGTGTCCAAAAGATCACATGTCATGCGTGTCAAAGAGGCCAAAATTTCTAGAGGCCAAAATTCCCCGAGTTATGCGCCCAACGAGACAGAATGTCTAAAGAGGCCAAAATAAAAGAGCACGGAAGGACACCCTTTACTACACACTAAATAAGGCCCCTTATTGTGCACAAGAAACAAGCCTCCCAAGTAACTTTGCTTTACTTACTCCGTGTGAATAGCGTGTATATTAGATTTGACTTGTGCAGACTGCTTGTAAGTGGCAATGAAAATTCGGCCATGCGGAGCTCAAGTTCATCTTGCACAGGTCACGCCGAGCTCTTATTGGCTGATTGAACAGAATTGCGGGTAGACCTCAAGGCATCTAGCCTTGAGCTCTACCCACTATCCGTCTAATTAAAGCCAGTTAGAACTCGGCGTCGCTCTGACGTCACCGCAATCCCTGCGCAAGAAGACTTGCTCGCCGCATACATCCCCGCCATGCATGAGCTAGCTGATGTGCTTTACTATCGTCACTGACAGCTTCAGAAACGCACAGCGTGTAGAGTCCCGGTCGTCTTACTTTCGCAACGCAGCTAATTAAATGACTTGGAACACTAAAGAATAAAACACATAGGGACTGACACACAGAGACACGAGAGTTCTTTCAATTAGCAATCGACGTTTATGATGCCTCCTCAATGGGTAAGCGCTTCTCTAATCCAACTCTAGAAAAAATAGGAAGTAACCCGCAAAAACAGAGAAGATAACGCCGTTGGAAAAAGGAAAAAGAAACAGAAACAAGATAGTTAATTAAGATTAAAAGAAAAAAATGAAAGTTCCTACCTCCCCTAGAGAAAGAAGAAGGAGAAGAAAACACCGCCGTAAAAAGAAAAAACACAGAACCAACTTGAGCTCACCGCTCCAACTCCTCTTTCAGAAACTCTACCTCTGCCTTGGTTAACCTAAGGGAGGGTAAGGCATAGTCCAAATCATCCCCGGCTATCCTAAAGTACACAATAACAGCTCGTCCTAGTCTGTCCTTGTATCTCCCAATCACTCGCGTAGCTTGAAAGTCCGACTCACAATTTAAAAAAATGCGGTTGAGCTACACAGTGGGATGAAGGGAGTTACTATAGGCGCACGGGTTACCTCGAGGTAGTGCCAGTGCTGGGGCACCTACCGGTCTGTCCGACGTACCTATCCCCGCAGGTAGAAATGGGTTGGCATGCTGGAGGGAGCAGACTTTGGGGGAACTGTTGTCATTGACCTTTTGGCATAATTGTTTTAGGCGTGCCTTGCACGAGAAACAACAGAAGAACCATACAGCGCTGAGATAGTTTTCAAGCGGTGAGAAGTGTTATGAACGTAAGGTATGATAACTACCCGAGAAGTCCTCATTAAGGTAGTAATTTGGGCCAGTTGGTTCATGATCACTTAAAGCGCAAAAATGCAAGGACGAGGAAGCAAAAAGACATGAGCGCTCTTGTCTGTTTACTTCCTCGTCCTTGTATTTTTTGCGCTTATTTATGAGAAGTCCTCCTTTTGGGAGACCGAGAGCTCGCGGAACTTAAATTAGACAAATGAGGGTGGTCGAAAGGAGATCTTTCGGGTACCCAGCTTTGAGGAGGCGTTCTTACTGTGTTGATAAGCTAAATAAAAGAACTGTCCTGTCTGTGTGTGTGTCCGTCCTTATATTGGTTTTTTTTTTTTTTTTTTTTTTTTAGGGGCGAAGCTTCTTAGGGTTTAGCTTTGTCTGGCGTCCGTGCTCACAACGATTGTCATCCCATCTGTCTTCTTAAAGAAGAAAAAATGTCTGCGCAGTTGACAGGATTCGAACCTGTGCGGGGAGACCCCAATGGATTTCTGGTCTATCGCCTTCACCACACGGCCACGACTGCGGGACGAGTAGGGGGCTCTGAGATGTGGTAGTAACTCAAGAGCCTGGGATGTCATAGATGAAACGTTGCATGTAGCCGCTCAACGTCTATACAGGAGAGGGCGCTGCGGTAAAATGCGTATATAATCGCGTTAAACTTTGCATGCATTGGCTTAACGTTTATAGACGAGAGGGCGCTGCGGTCAAATGCTCAAATGCGTATATAACCACGTTCCCATACCACGCATTCTCTTTCTAACATGAATGAAAACGAACGAAAGGCTTGGCATGCTGCGGCTCACCGTTTACGCAGACAAGCACAACAAAAGCTTCGCCCCAATCAACTTCATTCACCACGTGGAGATGCGGTCCTTTTTTTGGTCCGTTGTAGATGTGATGTTAAATGAAAAGTTACTTCAGGATGTCGGTGTACACATCGGGGAGGGGGCCGTGGTTAGAATTACTGGCAGATGGGTCACTTCGAATACACCATAATTTCAGATATCTTCTGGGGCCCCACCGTTGTTCACGTGCCAGGGTCACAGCGTTCACCAGGTCAAAAGTGTGATCAGTAGTCAAACAATGGTCCAACAGTTCAGTTTTTGATCTTGTTGCATGCGTTGCCTTCTCCGCGTCTCATCTGTGCTCTTTGGGGCGGGTACTTCGTTTTCGGCCGGTTTCTCTGATGTAACACTTGTCACAGTCCTGACAGTTCACCTTATATACAACACCACTTTGTGACTCAGGAGGGGTGGGATACTTGGCTTAGAGATGAGCTCACGTAAGTTATTCGTATACCTAATGGGAAGGAGGCACTGGCGAATAGATTCTGAGAATCCTTTTACATAAGGGATGGTCACCATGCCTGCTTTGTAATTATTTGTCGCTTTTCTTCTTCCCTACTGCATCTGTTTGAGCGTGTTTTCAATAAAACCTTGTGAATATCCGCGCCTCAGAAGGGATCCGACAACAATCTCAACTTCCGATGCTCGTAAATCTGAATTTGGAGGAACATTTTTGCACGCTTCTGTACAATGATAATATTCAATTGATTTATTAGTGTGAATACAGTTTGTGTTTTGTTTTACGTTAGTCGCCCGATTTAAAATAAGTCGCCCACACGACCTCTTCGATTCTGAAACAGCCCGATTTTGCTGCCTGATACTTAGGATTCATTTGGCTCGGCTCTTCGGCTATTTCGCGTTCCGAAATTTTTCCTGCGATACGATTTGCAAAGCATGTAGTCTGTTCATACCGTCATTACATAAAAACAAACTATGCCATATCGTCATTACAAAACCAAATATGTCATGTGTCGTGTCGTAATGTTGCGAAACAATCTACCACAAGTCAGAATGGCGTTGCGTCCTAAATAGCGGCCCTTTAGAGCCTACTTTTTACTCCCGCGAAGCAGTGCTTTGAAAAATAAAGCTACTCACTCTGAAAAGTGTCTGATATCGTTTTGCGAAAAAAGAAACGAAATGAACCAGTTCGTGATACCATCAACAGCCAATAGAGTAGAGTCCCAACTTCTTTTTTTTTTTTCTAAAGCACCGGATTTTAACGGTCACCCCGATTTCTAAATGGCACGGAATCAGGACTATATGTTGTACTGCCGGGATGCCAAAAAATCAATACCCACAGGCTTAGATAGTGTTACGTCCCATACACGCACTGATCAAAGCGTAGTTTTATTGTCACAAAGCTATGCCTTAAAAAAAATATTCAAACAATAACTTCCATTGTTGCGTGTTCCGATATAGTGACCTGACGAGATCATTTCTTTGCCTAGCCGTCTCTGAAACAATTTAGCATTGGCTGATAGTATATTCCACGATAATTTTTGCCTCGTTCTTGCGAGGCAAAAATTATCGTGCCCGCAGTGCCACAGTGCCTATATTTTTATTCATGCGATTCTAATCTCCCGGGGACAAAACCACTGTTCTACCCGTGACGTCACGGCGAGGACAGAGCAACCAGTCAGTACACTGAATGCAAGCTCGTTCTGGTGGCTAATAGAGGCACCACGTTGGCGCGGACGGTTTCCAACTTCGCTCTCAGCCGGAGTTGAAGTTTCCACAAACCTCCGCGATGTTACAAAGAAAGGGTGACGAAACGACGGCCAGTTTGACTACGCCACCGCTGCCGCATGCATCGAGAGAACTTTAGTATTTCTGCACGTGCCCGAACCTCGCTGGAACTCTGCGCGATAAAGTGCCGTCTCGTACACTGCAGCCTGATTCTTGTGAACAAAAGTTTTGTCGGCTTCACGCATGCACCGAGCGCTTGGTGAGATCGGTTTATTGGATGAGGTCCACTGGATTGTGGCTAAGGTAGGCGTCGTTATATGGCATATCGAGGAGTCTGGACCTTCTTCGTGTCTTGCCAATTTCTCTTTAAAGGGGAACTGCAAAAAGAAATGTATTTTTGAACAGCCTAATTGGGACAAGCATGTCACAAAATAATTTTTCCGCCAAAAACAAAAATTTTTACAGCAATATTTATTGCGCGAGATTGATTTTAGTTTGCGGCTATTTACTCCGTTTTA